TCCTAGCTTTTCTCTCCTGTAATCCCAGTATCTGCCCACTCCCAGTTTTTCTTCCCTCTGATCCCAGTATCTGCCCATTCCCAATTTTTCTCCCCTCTGAAGCTGGTATCTGCTTCGCTCTCAGAAAAGATAAAATATTCAGAGATTACAGTTAGTAAACCCTAAGCATATGCAAATGCATCTTTTTGAAAAGACTTGTATCCTGGCAAAATACAGATGCTTTGTCATGCAAATGGAAGACACATCCCTGGAATCAAATCCCTCATCCTTTTTCAACTACACTTCAAGGAGAGGGGCACATGGTAAAAGTTGCAAAAACTTTTAAAACACCAGGAAACACATTTTTTTTCTCTGCCTAATTTTTAAGGCAAGTCACATTTCAACGGAACTTTTACACACAAATTAAATAAACTAACACAAGACTTAGGCATGCCATTATAAATTTTCCCCCCAACCAGTGAAAGTTTGGCAAAGTTATGAAAATCTTCTTTGACTACCTCAATATTTAAGTAAAATTAATAGTTTCTGGGTACTGTTTGATCTCCAAGGCAAAGGCTTGTTATTGTCAGTGGTCTGAACTGCAGCACATACATTATCCGAAACACCTTCACGTGCTGCCCAAGATACCTGCGCAGTGTAACAGAGCACCTGAAGCACTATGGTCAAGAATAAGTACTGACAAATAGTTACTCTTTCCAGAACCTTCCCTTCTGTGTACTTCATTAAAAAGTATATTCCTCTAAAATGACAAGAAGTGTTCTGTTCACAGACTCCCTGAGCAGTACAACTGCAACTTTTGCAAGTTAGACCTGATGGATGAAATCATTGTACAAATGTCAAACCTAAACTTTCTAAAACAGGCTGGATTAAACGCCTAGCTTTGTTTTCAAAGGGGGGAAAAAAAAAAGATAATGTGTCTTTTAGCATCTGAACCTGAAGCTCACCATTTCCTAGAAAAGAGCAACAAATTTATCACTTAATTTTTATCTGTACCTTACTTTTTTTTTGCAGCCTATAAACATTAGTGGGAAAAAAGTAACTTAACTATGTAAACTCATGAGATGCAGTCTTTCCTAATCGGAAGAGGAAAAAAAAAACAACCAACAAAAACACCCCAAAAAACATTAAACGCCCTCCCCCCCCCAGCAAACAACATCACTCATATAAAGAGCTGTATGTCCAAAAAGCCAACCACCCAAAACAGATTTGAGGAGAACCAACATTTTGATCACATCTCCTTTTATAACCAATTAAATCATAGTCACTAGTCATCCTTCTATTTTTTAACCAAAATCTGTGTCTGCTAAGCCCTAGTACGGTTAAGGGCATCCTGGGAAAAGAACTAGTTTAGAAGACCACCGGAAGATCAAGACAACTTAACTCAAAACACAGAATTCAGTTAGAACTTAGTTTTGCCTTATATGTTCCTTTGAACTACTTTTCTGCATATATATTTTCAAATTGAAATATTATTATTTATATATAAACAGAAAGTTGCATTTGCAAATGGAACCTGTAAGGTCTGGTCCTCCTTTCTCCAAGATTAGAAGTTTACAAAGAGTTTCATCATTCAATGAAATGTCAGTAGGTCCAAGCTCCTAATCTGAAACAGTCCCATTTTAAGGAATAAGGACAAACAATAAAAATAAAAAAGTATATCCAGTTGCTGTGAAGAGATAACAAAAGATGATGTGTAGAAAACTTCTAGGGCTTTTTTCCTTTGACAGTGTAGATGGGTCTTATATGGTGCCCTCACAGTGGTGAAGAACTACTGTTTAAAACAACTATTCCATCCTTTATGCAACAGGGAGGCCTGAGCCCAAAATTAAGGCACTGAATGAGAGGAAGGGGCACAAAGACTCTTGTGATTTTTGTCTCTTCATCTTTTCATGCCTCACAGGTACTGTGTGCCCTCATTTCTTGTGCTCCCCTACTGTGCTGTGGCTGTACCTCCCTGGCAAAGAATTAGGTGGTTTTTTTCCGTAAATTCATCTACACTTCACACGTTGTTAAGCTACATAATATAGACAATTTGCCCCGGAGACCAAGCAGAAGGGACAAAGAGAAAGCCCATGAAACAAAGCCATGTTGGAACTGAAAGTTTGCCAAGGGCTACTATAAATGACTGGCAAAACTTGCTTCATTTTGTTAGCAATTACATAACCTCAAAGCACATAAATACTAAAGGCAGAATACAGCGAGATGTACATACTACAAAACATATTTGGCACTGGATTGTTCTGTAAAATACAACACAAAAAATATTGCAAACAACATCTGAACACACATCTTTTCCACACTTGATAAATACTCTTTTCACACCCTAGTCCTGTCACTGGCACACATCCTCATGGGGAATAAATATGTTCTACACAATCAGGCTACGCAAAACCTGAGGTAGTGTAATATTTAAAAAAAATTATTTCCTTAGTTATTTCAAGTGTATTTTGGAGATACGTTACTGGCTACAAATTTTAGATACTTACAAGCTTGAGGAGACACACTAGCCTTAAGTTGCATATTCTGTTCTAAAAAACTTGGAAATTAAACATAATTATAATCCCTCTCTTCTTGATTAAATAAGTACTTAATGAATCAGTCAAACATACATATTTTTCTCTGTGGTTTACAAATTAAAACAATCTTATGCAGAAGTTGGTGCTGTATTTTTGTAGAGATATTTAATTGGAAAGCAACCTTTTTTTTTGAGTATAGCAAAAACTCACGCATTACCTTGGGACAAGCATTGCATGGCTGCAAAACAGCGTAGTAAGAGGAAAAAAAATGCAATCACAGCTTTTTTGATGTCAGAAAGAAAGCATATGAAAATAGCCAGGATATGATCTGACCTACTAAAAAGAAACTTTAATAGACGTAATACAACACAAATCTGAAATGTTGACTATATAATGATATTCCCATCATAAACCAAGTCTTAAAGCTTTTTTTATCTTTTCTTTTGTTTGTTTCGCTAAAGGAAAAGGGGGGAAGAGGATGTTTCTGAATTCCCAGCTGTGTTCATTTTTAAGTAGATGGTACCGTGAAGCTTCTTATCTGTCAAGTCCACGGTGTAAAAACAAACCATTCCAGTGTTTTGCATAAAATAATCTACACGTGAAGAATCCACATTTCCAGCTGTTAGTTACGAATGAAAGACAACGTGTATTTAAATCGAACAGCACCACCTAGCAGGTCCCCCACAACTTTACTTAGGAGGGCAGTTGCTACTTGGCAGTCAGTCAGTTTAGCAAGCTCGCCCTGAAGATTATTAAGCATTTTCACACCACGTGCAATATTATGTGCTCTAGGACACCAAAATCTTTATGAAAAATCAGCTGCAGTGAAAGAATTAGACTGAAAACAGTTTGAACCTTCAGCCCCACGACCGGAGCATTCGTGTATGTGGCTGGTATTAGGAAGTTTTTGCAGAGCAGAATTAAAAGAACATGATCTTCATCTGATCCAACACACAGCAGCCTATGGATTTGGTTTTAGTCCCACTGTGAGGTCCCACTGTGCCCTTCAGTGATTTACCAAGTGTATTAACAAACATGAGCTAACATGCAGCACAAGGAAATGGTTTAATTCGCTAATTTTGTAAAACCAAACAAACAACTCTTCCACTAGCCAGTTAAGTAATTATTTTTAAGCAATTATTTTTAAAATTATCCCTACACTGGGAGTAAGAAGCGCCACTAGTTGATCAGTTTTCAGTGCCCAAGTTGTGTCTCCCTCTCTATCTCAGCAACTAATGCTTCACCAGTGCGGCCTCTTCCTCTCTCCGCTTTCCAATGGCAAAGTTAAGTGCGAAATTGACACTTCAAATTTCCCCTACCATCTCCCTCTTCTGCAGCAAAAGAGATGCCCGGCCTGTTCCTGTTCCAGGAAGCGTGCATGCCAGCCTCTGGAACTAGGAAGTCCCTTAACGAAAAAAAACAACCCACCGACCAAAAGAACCAACCCAGCATTAAAAAACAAAACAAAACAAAACAAAAAACTAACTAAAAAAAACCCTCAAACAACAAAAACAACAAATCAACTAACAACAACAACAAAAAAACTTTTAAGTAAAGGTTCAGGACAAACTGCCTGAAGGGAAACTAATCGGCCGTGGCCGGAGCGCAGATCCCAGTGCTGAGCCACCTCCAGAGCGATGCGATTTTCGGACCAGAAAGGTGCAAACCCGGCCTCTCGACGGAGGTTTGCACCTCTGGACCCCCCCCAGCAGCCTGTCCCCGACCTTCTCACCTCCGACACACTTCGTCCCCCTCCTTCTCCTCCTGGCAGGGGCTCTTCCTACCCCTCCACCGCGGTGGCAAACCAGCCCCGGTCACGCCAAGTCGCTGCCACTACAGGACAACTCGAGGAGCCGCCGTCCATTCCGGAAAACGCGGTCTTCCCCCAGTTCCCTCGCGGGGCGGGGGCATCCCCAGCACTCTCCGTCGGGATCCCCGCAGGCGGCGGGGACGGAGCTCCCAGAGCGCGGTTCGGATGGGGGGTTTTAAGCGCGATTACAAATAAAGAATAATAATAACGATAATAATACTAACAGTACTTTTGTCAGGCGGCGGGGCCCGGTCGGACCCAGGCCGGGGGTCGCGCCAAGGCACCCCCGATGCCCGCACCCCCTTTGTGTGTGCGGAGTTCCCCGGGCGTCGACAATGCGGGGACGGCCAAAAGTTGCGAGGCGGCAAGTTGGGACGCGGCGGGACCCGCAGCCCCCCACGCGGGGCTCTTTGTTAGCGGGGCTGTCCCGCACCTTGCGGGGCCGGCGATGGGGCGGCGGGGACCCCCGCGGGACCACCTTGGACGGGGCGCTCCGCGACCCCGCAGCGCTGGGACCCCCGAGCACGGGCGCTGCCCCCGCACTCCGTGGGGTCCGGCACGAGGGGGTTGAGGGAGGAGGGGCTGCGCCGCAAAGTTTAGTTGTGGGGTGCGCGGGGGTTTGCGCGGGGTTTGCGCGGGGTTTGCGCGGGGGTTCGTGCGGGGCGTGTACTCACTTCTCCCTGGCCTGGCTGTCGGACGGGACGCTGCTGTTGCTCTTGCCTTTGCCGTACATGCCTGCGGAGAAGCTCCCGACTGTCACGCACCTGTCAACCCATCACCGCCTCCCCGGGACCGGCCCCGTCGCCACGGCGACCGCGCCACTCGCGCGCGCCATTGGCCGGGCCCGCCCCCGGCGCCGTGATGGACGGGGCGCACGGAGGGGCCGAGCGGGCCCCCCGCCCCGCCCCCGGCCCCCCCCGCCCCTGCTCCGCGCAGCTCTCGCCGCCTCTCCCCGGCGCAAGGGGGAATTAGAAACGGTTCTAGAAGGATTTTTAAACAACCGGCTGTTCCCGGCGCCGGCCGCCCGCCCGCCGCCGCTGCCGCCGCCGCTGCCGCCGCCGATGGGGGAGCGCCAAGGAGAGACGCAAACTGCGGACCGGACTCTCTGCCAGCCCTGTGTCCGCGGCCTCCCAGCCGCGCACCGAGACCCCTCGACCGCCCCCTTCGCCCCCACGAGGGCAGGGGGCACCCCCTGCCCCCTCCTGCCCCCCTATGATCTGCCCTCAGCCCCCACGGGGATCCCCCCACCCCTGCCAGACACAGCCCCGAGGGTCCCCTCTCCCCGATGGTCCCCCGCCACATCGGGTCCCACCCTACCGAGGGTCCCCCTATTCCCCCACCGGGGGAGGGACCTTCCTCCTTTGCGATGAGAGGCGAGTGCCGGGACCGGCCTTAGGCGGCTGGAGCTGGGGAGGAAACGTTTCCTGAACCAAAGCAGCGTGGCTTTTTAGAGAGGCTTAAAAAAGAAAAAGTAAAAAAAAAAAAAAACCAAAACTGCCCCACGGTCTCTAAAGAAAATTCAAGGAAATGCTTTGATTTTTTTTTTTTTTTAGAGTTACATCGCAATAATTGCGTGCTCACAGGAGGTGGTAGGAAGGGAGCAGCCACTGGGGCCATTTATTGCCTGATTTTTTTTTTTGTCTTCCTCCTAAACCGCAGTCCCAAATTTTGCGGATTTTGATACCTGCTTATGTTTAAAGTGCGACTAACCTTGTAAACCCACTCACGTGCGTAATTCTTGGGGGGGGTCTTTTAGTGATTTAATGTTTTAGTGTTTAATGCCAAGCCCTTTCTCAGGTCGGGTCAGATTGTAAATGCGCCCATCTCCGCGTCCTGTGGGCAGGCAAAGGTCACAGGCAACTAGCGCCACAAAAAACCCCAATCAAGATTGGAGGAGGGAAGTTGTGCCAGACGTGGACCACCAGCATCTGTTTATCATTGCCGGAGCTGCAAGGAGAAAAAAAAAATCCTCTGGATTTTGAGCTGCCAGAGCGAAGGGAATGGTTGGTGAGGTGAAACTGGGGGGGAAGGGGGAGAAATAGAAGTATTGATGAACAACTGGAACAAACTAGCGATGTCAGCAGAGACAACGTGAAGGAACAAGAGAGGCTGGAGAATCCGAGGTGCTTGTAGCAGTTCCCTACATGGTGTGGGTTGTGTGGGATGTCTGTGCTGTTGCAACCCACCACAATAATTCATCAGATTAAAGCACACCACAGCAAATCCCATTTTGTGCCAAAGTTGGTTGTCTTAGGCTTATATCTAATTTTTTTATATTTTTTTTATTAACAGTGGGAGAGAGTGGTTGGAGTGAGTCTAGGGAGAGGAGTAAATTAGGCTGACATCAGCCACCCTGGTGGGATCAAGGCTCCTGCTCCCAAATTACACTGACAAGACCAGGGGAAGAACAACGAACAAGGTGGCAACAGTGGGTTGTGGTGTTAGGAGAATGAGGGAAAACAGAAAAAGAGAGGGGAAGGAGTGAATGGAAGGGTAAGAAAAGCTCAGAGAGGAAATGAAGGATGAGGAAATGAGGAAGCAAAGCACAAGCACAACGCACGAGGAAGTTGGGTGATAAAGGTGGGAAAAGACGAGGAAGAGAATATGAGATGTTAATGAAACGTGAACCGAAAGGAGGAGTTTTGGCCTGATTTAGACAGAATAATGCTTACATGTGTTGGTGCCGTGGAGTTTAGGTTGGACATGAGGCTGATGGCTTTCAGAGTGAACATGGGCAGCAGAAAATGGTGCAAAGGAAAGAATCAGGGCATAAAACAAAGAAAAGACTTGGGTTGTGGGTAAGACATAGAAAAGGAGATTTGGTGAGGGAAGGAAAAGAGTGAGTGTGGATATCTTTGGTCAAACTACGGAGGTAAATGACACTAGTACAGATCATAGTAATCCAGAGTACAGTTTCCATCTGAATATTTGCTTGCGTTTGGGGACGAACCATTATCACCCCATCAGATATGATGAGTATCTCCTGTTCAATGCTTTATGCTGACATCCTGAGCCATGGTTTTAGCAGGGCTTTCACACCAGGCTGATAACTGGCGAAATCCTTCCTGGGCAGGACAGTCGTCGAAATCGAAATCTCTTGTTTTGTTTACCTCAATAGCTTTGGTTGATTTATTTGTGGTTCGGAGAGGGGGTGTATTTTGAGAAGATGGCTGTATCTGTGTTCTGTCAGCCTTGGAAGGGGAGAAGTTTGTGATGGTGAGAGAGCTGTTAATGTTCTCTCGATATGCAGCACAGCTAAAAATGCTTTGTTCCCGTTTTTCATGTGATTTATTTGCATTCCTGTGATTTATTTTGGTCTGAAGGACCCCAAATTACTTGTGTGCTCCAGATCAAGATGTGATCTGGGGCAGAGCAGGAAGAACTTCAGGAGGGCAGGGCTGGACGCTGAGACAGGATTAGGATGGCCCCATTCCCAGTAAGGCTGGTAAAACTTCTCTTTACAAGTCTGCTTCCCAAGCTACCATTAAAATTCAGATGATGACTTTGTAATTTTGCTTAGAGATCCTTCAGTGGAAAAATGCAGAAATAGTGCTAACAGTTATTTATTATGCATATGAAAACCAGAGCACAAAAAGGAATAAGGTGTTTGCCGGGCACTGCTGTGGGTTTGCCCGGCTGATGTTACCATTGCCTTTGGAGGAATTATATCGTGGAGTATCATCTACCAGTATCATATGAACAAAATCTCATCATGTGAATGCAAAAGTTTGCTTAGTAAGCAGGTAAATTAACAAAAACCACCCAAACAGTGTTACCAAGTTTGATGTGTCATTAGTTCTTTCTCAAAGTGTGGATACTCGTATAATATCCGTGTATCCCTGCCCTTGCTCCAGTCGTTCTGAGCACAAACACTGTTCTCAGCAGCAGCAGTTGTATCTCATGAGGCCAACACTGTAATTAATGAGATTTGAGGCACAAGTACTGAGACAAAATTTACTTTTCCAGTATCCAGAAATGAAGATCCAATCTATGGTAAAAAAGGGGATAAGGGGTGGCAGTACTTTAAAGCTTCTCAAACCGACATTAGAAAGGAATTCACAATGTATTTTTAGAGTGTTATAAAAATCTCTTACATAATGCTGATTAATTCTTAGGTTTTAGGGAAGAGCACTAGGCTTTGTGTATAAAAGTGTTGACCAGCTAAGCCACTGAAAAGGGCTGGTTCGGGATGGATTTTTTTTTTCCCCTTTAACTTTTTCTTGGTTACAGAAAGCTGCAATTATTCAATTATTACAGGATTTTGCTTTTGTTTGTGTGTGTATGAATATTTTTCTGGAAACTGCATGTTATTCTTGGAAGTCTTTATCATTTTAAAGCATATGTTATGTTATCACCCTGTCTGAGATACAGGATAGCTACAAACTGGGTGGGGTTTTTTCCCCCTCTGCCTTGCTGCAGCTAGTTACGTTATGGATTAACGTTAAAGATATCTGCAGTAAAACATTATTTGTGTGGCTGTGTAAGACTCACTTAAACAATGCCACTTATATTACAGAATCATGATTTTCCTGGCGCAGTAATACATGCAATTACTTTATATTTCTGCCCATTCTGTTGATTTTCAAAATTATTGATTAATCTAACTGGCAGGTTTCACACAGCTCCTAACAAAGGGCTATTCAGGCAATTGAGTCAGTAAATGGTACTCCCTTGTTTTAATTGTGGTTATCTATACTTATCGTTGTGTAGCTGGGAAGATTTTTTGGACAAGATATCATGGAAAAGGGATGCTTTTGTTTAGTCTTTTTCGACAGATACATGACCGAGGCAGCTTTGAAGCCTTTCTGAAAAATCCTCCTTCCTTCTGTAGAATGTTTAATCTTCCTGTGGAGTGTCGAACTATGAGACTTACTCTGCAGAATTCCATTCTTGTGCCATACAGATGAGTAAGAACTGCTCAGGTAAATGAGGTGAGTCCTTAATTGTTACTGCAGAATGAAGGTAGGAGGAATGTGTGGGTCCAAACAAAATCTTTATTTGCCCCTCTTTTCTATTCAGGAGGAAATGAAAATACTTATAGCTCAGGGGTAGGGAAGGATGATCCTTATGGGTCCCTTCCAGATATTCCGTGATTCTGGGTCTCAAAGAAAGGCTTACTAATAACCCAACAGCCCCTTTCACTTTCTTTTCCAGCAAAAACCACAATTTTCTTCTGGCTTTGGAGAAGGAGCAAAGATGCTTTTGCAGCACAGTTCATCCACGAAGAGGTCACGCAAATATGACCAGCTTAGAAACAAAACTTGGTGAGAATAAACCTTTATTGCTGTCACTGGCTGTGATAGGTTTGATCACACATGTGAGTGCTCAGGCTCCCAGTTTGCAAACATGTGCAGTTCAGAATAGGGGAAATTATCTGTAAAGGGCACACAGTCTGAATCCTACAGTGAAAAAACCCCACATTTGTGTGTACTGGTTTCCTCCACATTAGCTGTCACAACTTTGTTCTCTGGTGTTTCATGTGGTTTCAGCTCTCCCTAATGCTGTTTCCACTGGAGGGGCTCTCACACACGGACGCTCACGTGTGTGTCTTTGGGGCTCACTAGGACAACTTCTGTTGTCTCTTATGAAGAAAAGTTCAGAAACAGCCTCCTTCCTCTCTCCAATCACATATTTTTACTTCTAGAATTGGAATTGCTACTCTTTTTTTTGTGAGGTTTAGTTAATAATTGGGTTAAAATTGTTTCTGACGTATACATAAACACACATGGCATGTGAGGTCATTGTTTAGCTGGTTGTTTTAAACCATCTGACTGAAGCTATGTTCTACCAGACAACCCAGTCTGTGGGGGAAAAAAAAAAAAGTAAGAAAAAAGAGTACATAGTCTCTGTTATTAATCATTTGAAGGATAGCTGAAAGTCACCATTGCTGGTTCAGTGATGTGTCACATCAGGAACGTGATTCTTTGTGCTGCATGTGGCAATGACCAGAAGAAAAACAGCTTGAGAACTGGGGATATAGCTGGATGTGAGGCTAAATGGGACCCCGATCCCACATGAAGCTCCACATGGGCAGATCTATCTTTGCATGATGTGGGTGCAGGGAGGGATTTGTGACAAAGGACTTTGCTGCTACAGTGCCTTCGCTGCCACTTTTCGCAGTTAGTGCTGTGCTAAACAAAAACAACAAACAAAAACCCCAACCAGAAATCACATTAGCAGCATCAAAATTGCTTTTATTTCCAGGGTCACTACCCTTAGCAATATGTTGCAGGAAAAGGTTGATCACAGTGTGGAGTTGCTGATAATTCCTGAGTTGGTTTGACATATGCAGACTGCTGTTGACTTCAACAGGCTTATTTAGCACATTTGTTTCTTTTGGGTTTAGGATTAGTCAAAATGCAATTTTGTGAAGTTATACTGAGGAGGTAGCCTGTCGTAGGCTGTAGGCCTGGCAGGACTCAGGTTGCACAAATATAACAGCAAAAAGACTTTGACTTTAGCCAAGAGTTAGCCATGATTAGGGCAAATAACCTCTTCAGAATGCTCAAGATTTTTACATATATTGAATTCTGTTCAAAAAGAAGAGATTCCAAGGCAAGCAGCAATGCTCAAAGTGAAGATCTGGGAAAATAAATGGCCTAAAGTTGTCATACCATGACAGCCTTGGCAAACCTTTACATAGTTTTATAAAACAAACACGTGTGATGTTCTGTTCTCTCAGTTGGTCTTTACATTAGAAGTTCACACTTAAAAGATGAATAAAATGGTTCTCTCTCTCTTCGCATATTTACTGAGCACATATTGGTGGATTAAGTGCTATACCATATCCAAACCTACAGCCACTCTGTGCAGCTTTTCTGCCTTCTTTGAGGTGTATAACCCCTGGAAAATGGAGATCATTCCAGCCTGTTTTGTGGGCTTGATATTCCAAGGAACTAGTTTCTCTGGATCTCAAGAATCATAGAAAACAGAACAATTGTCTGTGGTGTTGCTCTTCTTCTCAATGAGTACAAAATGTACCAGTGGACTCTGAGTGTTATTTCATTTGTTTTCAACACCAAGATTGCAGCTGCTTCTACATTTTGTGAACTACTTGAGCTTTTTTGGGTTCAGTTAAGAAAAGAGAGAAAATTTCACCCTGTTTTGGATGCGTGGCCCAAGGAGAGGGTAGTGATGATTAAAAACACTGGCATATATCAAATCAATTATACCAGCTGGCCAATAGCAGTGTTAAAAGCAAGGAAGGAAATCACGGCATTATTCATTAGTTTATACTTATATATGTTTTGTTTCTCTTAACTCATACACAGGCACGCACATGACATTGTTCATATATATTGTTCATGTGGTAAGGAAGAAATAAAAAAAGAAATCGATACCAGTGTGCATATGTGTTCAAAAGCTTAGTGAATTCTTCAAGCTCTGCTGGGGATCAGGTTTCATGAAACTGCAATAAAAAATCCTTTTTATACCTTGTCTTTGTGTGTTCCGAGGTGGGTTTGTAAGGTTTGAATTACTGGGTAATCACCAAGAAGTCTCCTTTGCATGAGCCTGCAGCTGGGAAATGGACAGTTTAATATTAATGGAAAGAACAAACTCTTCTCCTTTCTCTCTCCTTTCTTATCTGCACTTCTGCTTCATCGTTTCCTTCTCCAAGGTCCCTATGCTGAAATTGCTTTTGCGGAAGTCCAGGATGAACTACAAAACCAGGAGTAGAGCCCAGTTTTTCAAAATCCCATTTAATGACTGCAGTGAGCGACACTAACTTCTGAATATTCTGGATAGAAAAAATCAAATTCATTGATGTATCTGTAATGATTTATTTAACTGAGAAACTAATATCACATGAATCTGCAGACTTTCCTTATAAAATAGCTATTAAGTGCCGTGCCATCACCATGCCAGGGGGAGGTATGGACATAATCGCTTCTGGCTTCTAAGGGAAGAAAAGTATTAAATGTTCATCAAGAATGAATTGGCAAAAATTACTGAACTTTAATAGAAGTAAACAGCAGCACAGTGTCTGTAATGTGGTGTATATCCACTTCAGGTCCATCCTGGCTTCTCTTCCAAACAAGTTCAACAAGAAATTGAAATTAATTACTGAGGTTTAGCACATCACCACTTTTTTACATTAAAGGACGCTTCTTCATTTAAGCTAACTGCTGAAAATCCAGTATGATGGATAAGAGAAGACAACCCCAAAGCAGGGTCTCTAGGTCTAAGGTAAACATAAAGTTAACCCTTTTTGGGCTTTCTAGCACGAAGGAGCTCTTGGCATGCAAAGGGATGTTAGAGCCTGTTGAGAGCCCACAGAAGCCGTGGGACTCAACTGAGAGCTCCAAAAGGCTTTCTTCTTCTCCATTTATGCATGTAAATTGTATATTTGAACAAAAGCCTTTGCTGGTGACTTCTCTGCTGGTGTCTGAGCTGTGCTTCCCATGTCTAAGTCCAGTGTTGGTATTTAGGGAGCTGAACTGAATGAGCTCCTCTGACCTCTTGTGAGAGATCTGTTTACACAGGCAGAGTGTGGCTCTCAGGGCTAAAGCCACTTGGTTTCTCCCCAGGTGATCTTTCTGTCCAAAAAAATGTGGTACTGTGGGTCTATGAGGAGAAACAAGCCCTGGTCCGAGTGGCTGGAACAGGGACTGTTACAAAACCGAGTCCTGAACAAGAGAACAAAGATGCCTTAGGGCTGTGTAACAAGCAGAGCCTCCTCCCATTGGTTCTCTCCTGTTGAGTTCTCCATATTCTTACTGCCTGGCATGTTGTTTTCCTAGGATATCTGAGGAGGGAGGAGCTTGAAATTTAAGGCAAATTGGGTTATTTAAAATATCCTTCTTTTATGGTTAAAATTTATAGCCCAGCTTTGTGACGCTCGCCTCCTGACCTGTGGTAGCCTTTTTCCCTTGGTGATTTAAAAGTGACCTTGAGAAGCAGAGATATTTTCATTTCTTCCATTTCCTTTCCTATTTTTTCCCTTCATTTTCTTCTGCTCTTAAAAGAGAAACAAAACTAAACAACTCCAAAACATTCTTCCAGCAGCACAAGATATGTCTGACTAATGCATCCCAAGATATGGATTTCAGTGAGGAAGGAAGACATGCATTTTTTATGTGACTGTTGCTACCAGACAAGATGCAGGGCAGGAAGGCAGGTCTGGAAAACCTCCTCTGTGGACTGGGAGGGCATCATGTCTCATTATGGCAACTTAATTCCAGACACTGGCCAACAAACCAGGGATGTGGAAAGGCATCTGTATGGAAGAGAGGGGCTTTTTGATCTTGCACACTGGCCTCAGGGGTTTTGGTTCAGAAACAGGCAGGAGTTATATAGAATTCCTAGAATACAGCTGGTGCACCCATAACTGCATTGGCTATAATAGGATTTTTTACTGTGCTAGGAATGAAATATCAGGCTCTCATTGTTATCTTTCCTCATGCAGCTGTAAAGAATTTATTTGTGAGTTTTACAATATCCAGAGGTGGTTCCTTTTTACCCTTTTTCAATAAAGTTGAAATGCCAAAAGTTCTTTAGTTTGTTATTACTCTTTGCCCAGCACAAAACCCTTGTAGAAGTCCTGAGACTGGCATCTCTGTCTGATTGTGAGCCTTCTCTTAAAGAGACCATCTTAATTTCCCTGTGTGGCTGGTCTTTCTGATGCCATTTTTCAGTCAGTTCCAATATTGAGCCTTTTCCAGCATGTTGACATGCCAGACTGGTGAGATGTATATTTGTGGTTCTCAAGAACACATTATTCTATGTGTTCTTGGCAAAAATCTGGGTCATACCTCAGGTTTTAAGCATTCAGTGTGTTCAAATTTCTTGTAAGCCTGCAGTGTCCCACCTTAGAATGGAAAAAGTGTTATCTATTACTGTGGGCATAAAAATGTTTCACTTGGAGAAGATCTCTCAGTTGCCTGGAAAACCAAGGAATCAGGGAGCCATTTCACTTCCTTTTGTAAGACTA